GTGTGTGTGTGTGTGTGTGTGTGTGTGTGTGTGTGTGTGTGATTCTTTTTTTTTGAGATAGGGTCTCACTAAGTAGATTTGGCTGGCTTGGAGTTTTCTATGTAGGCCAGTCTGGCCTTGAATTCATAGAGATCCACATGTCTTAGCCTCCTGAGTGCTGAGATTAAATGTGTGTGTCATTATACCCAGCTTTTATATTTTAAAATTAGTTATGAGTATATGTTGGGGGAGTTGAACACATAGCTACAGTGTCTAAGGAGGCCAGAATAATGCAACAGATCCTCTGAAATTGGGGTTATGAGTGGTTGTGAGCTGCTTGATACGGGTTTTGGGAATGGACCTTGAACTTGGTTCCTCTGCAAAAGCAGTGCATGATTTTTTAGTTATTTGTTTTATATGTGTGTTTTGTGTGCTTGCATGTATGTATGTGCATGCATATGTGCCTGGTGCCCTTAAAGGGCTTTGAATTCACTGGAACTGGAGTTATTAGAGTTAGAGATGGTTGTGAATCAATTACCATGTGGGTTCTCAGAACTGAACCCATGTCCTCTGCAATAGCAACTAGAGCTCTTAACCACTGATCCATCTCCCAAGTCCCATTTTTGTGGTTTTATTTTTGTTGCTAATTTTTTTATACAGGGTCTCATTATGTATTCCTGACTGGCCTCAACTTACTGTGTAGACCAGACTGACCTTAACTCAGAGATTCTCCTGCCTCTACCTCCAAGTGCTGGGATTAAAGACTTGACCCACTATACTAGGCCCAGTGGTGTGTGCTCTTAACTACTGAGCTATCTCTTCATCCCCAGCCCTATATATAAGTATCAATATTTGGTCTCACGAAGGAATAAAAGACAGCAGTATCATTCTGTGTTGACATCCCTAGGGGTGCTGCCAGGGAGGAGAGAGTGAGAGATGGACAGCTCCAAGCTCTGCCACACTGTACCCTTGCATTCACCTATGCATTCCCTCAGACGTTCATGAACACTTCCTGAAAGCCAACCCTGTGTTCCATATGACTTTACTAATTGTTGTTGCAAACAATGCCTTGCATAGTTTTTTTGTTTGGTCCATGAATTCCCCGAGCCCTATCTGGGTTGAAATTCTGGTTCCTCTCTAATAGCTTCAGGCCAATTAACTGACCTCTTGGTCCCTGGTCGACTTCTCTTTAAGATGATGGGTGGAACGCCAGGCGTTGGCAGTGCACACCTTTAGTCCCAACACTCAAGAGGCAGAGGCAGGTGGATCTCTGTGAGTTTGAGGACAGCCTGGTCTACAAAATGAGTTCCAGGACAGCCTCCAAAGCAATACAGAGAAACCTGTCTCAAAAAACCAAACCAAACAAACAGACAACAACAAAAAAGATTTTTAGCCGGGTGTTAGTGGCACACGCCTTTAGTCCCAGCATTTGGGAGGCAGAGGTAGGCAGATCTTTGTGAGTTTGAGACCAGCTTGGTCTACAGAGTGAGTTCCAAGCCAGCCTCCAAAGAAATACAGACAAACCCTGTCTCGAAACTGTCCTCCCCAAAAGATGATGTGTGGAATGAAATCCAGTGTATGCTCAGTGAACTTGAGATGCCCAAACCAAAGAAAGAACTAGAACCAATCGAGGAGATTCCTCCTGCAATCCCAGCACGCAGGAGGCTGAGGCAGGGGATTCCTATGACTTTGAGGATGCCCTCAGATACATAGTGAGTTTGAGGCCATCCCGGGCTACATGGGACATAGTTCAAAAAGTAAACACACCCCACAAATACACAAATGGGAGGGCTGTCCTCATAGTCTGTGTGCCCAGATCCTTAGAGGTGACTTCTGTGCACCCTACATAAGGCAGCTTTTACATACAGGAAGCCCTGGCCAGGTCACACAGCCTATGAGGACAATGTGATTTACAGTGGGACTTCTGGTCATACTGTGTGTTTGAGGCAGATGATGACATTATCAGGGTTGGTCAAGTGGGCTACTCCTTCATCAGTGTCCAACTCCCAATCAAACTCAGGACATCAAAGCTTAGGTGAGCTTCTGTTTAGCAATATTTGCTAGGTGTTGTGTCAGGGACAATTAAGCACCATCTGTAGACATCAGAAGAACAAACAGAAACCAGACCAGGTCTCTCTTTCCTTTGCTTCTTTCAACCCGAGTCCTCTCAGTGTATGAACCATGGGGAACTGGCCCAGTTGATAATGTGCCACAGGAACATGAGAACCTGAGTTTGATTGACATAAAAAGCCAGACATGATAGTACACACTTGTAATCCTAGCACTGGAGAGAGGATCCCTAGGGCTCACTGATCAGTTTGTCTGGCCTGCTTGGTGTCTCAAAGTCTAAGCTGGGCATTTCTGATAAATGACACATGATAGTGATCTCTGTCATTCAGATGCACACACATACATTTGCATGCACTTTATATAGGCACCTACACACACAGGTTCACAATACATATACTTACAAACAAAAGTACTAAACCATCACCATTACTTCAACTGATGTTCTGAATTCTAAGTCCTTTTAGCAAATTACTGACACAAGGGTGGCCTTGTGACTCCCATCCCAGCATAGGCACCTTCCTCCAAGGGCTGCTGTGTACATAAATAAGATGCTGCCTGGCATTTAGGGAGTACTTAGTTGATGATTGATATCACAATCTTCCTGGTAGTTTGATGAGAAGAGATATTTTGCAAATACTAGGCTGAGGAGTCAGATTCCTGAGATGACCCCAGGGGTTAAGGCCTGGACTAACAACCAGCCTTTCCACAGACCCCTGGGCTCTGTCCTCTACAGCCCCTGTTCCCCCCATTCCCAGGAACCCCACACCTCACCTTGCCCTGATCCTGTATGTCCTTTCTCCTGGCCCAGATCAACACCAGCACGTAGACCATGCAGAGGCAGCCCACTGTGGTAACCACCACAGGGTTGTCCTCGAAGGTGGCGAAGAGCTCTGCAGTCTGCTGGACATCCATGGCATTGGGCATCACCAGGAATGTGCTTCCAAAGAAGGTGAGGTGGTTGCAAAGGCAGTGTGTCTGGGAGGTGGTGGTTCGTGGCCCCACCTGTAAACCCCAAAAAGACCATGTTTGGAAATGCACCTGCTTCAGCCCAATGGAGAAGAATGATGAACACCGCAGTGTGGATACCACTCCATCAGCCTTTCGGAACCACAGATTCAGCCAACCTCTGGTTGGAATTACATAGTTTTAGGGCTGGGCTGTGACTCAGCTGGTAGAAAGCTTGCCTAGCATGCACGAAGCCCTGGGTTTAATCAACATCACATAAACTGCGTATGGTGTCAAACACCTGTAATCCCGGTATCAGAAGGTGCACAGAGGAGGATCAGGAGTTCGAGGTCATCCCCTGCTACATGTTCAAGGCTAGTCTGGGCTACATGAGACTCTGGCTGACTGGCTATCTAGGCCAGAGGCATCAAGTCACCCCTGGAGCTGGAGTGACAAGTGCCTGTGAGCTAGTTGATGTGAGTGCCGGGAACTGAACTTGGCTTCTCTGTAAAAGAAGTGTGGGTCGGAGACCAGAACCCAGAACCCACATGGATGCATAAAGGTGGGCCTCCAGCCTCAGAGGATGGAGACAGATCTCCAGAGGAATCTGGCAACTGAGGCTAGCTGTATCATCCAGCTGTGGATTTGGCTGCGGAGTTCCACCTCATTGAATAAGGTGGGAAAATGGAGGATGATTCCTAATATCAACCTCTGGCCTTTATATACATGTGCACACATGTGCATGTGCACACACCCATATTCAAAAATGCATGCATGAGCATGTATGCGCACAATCACACTCTTGAAAATGAAAACTGATTTTAAGACCCAGAGAATATTATTTACTTTTCATCATGCTGGGGATTGAACCCTGGACCTTCCCAGAAGGGTTTTTGTTTTTGTTTGTTGTTTGTTTATTCTGTTTTTTTTTGTTTGTTTTTTAGACAGGGTGTCACTGTGTAGCCCTGGCTGTCCTGGGACTTGCTATGTAGACCAGGCTGGTCTTAAATTCACAGAGATCTGCCTGCCAGGTGCTGGGATCAAAGGTGTGCTCTACCATACAGGGCTTGTGGATATTATTTTTAACAGTTTCACACCTGTCCTTCCCGTGTGGGTGCTGAACAATTTGCAGGCCACTTTGTCCGTTTCAGAGAAGTACTGCAAGTGAATTTGGGGTCTCCGTCATCACTGCCTCAGCGGCACCCAGCACCATGAACATGACCTACAGCCCTCCTGTCCTTTGCCCACTTGTGACTCATTCATAGAGGGGCTTGTGCTGGGTGCTGACACTTGCCCAGCAATTGGCCAAGCCAAAAACATCTAGTAGCCAACACGTCTCAATTTTCCAGGACTTCCTGTTTTTCAAGCTGAATGTCCTGGGCCCTAGGAATTCTCTCAGCAGCAAACTTGAATGGATGATTGACTCACGCTGAATAGAAAATGCCAGTCAGGGAAGCCTCCAGGAAGGGAGAAAGGCAAATGTTAACCTCCTGGGCTGGGCCTCAGTTCCAGCAAAGTGAGGATGGGCTTGGTTGTGCAACCTTCAGGTAATCAGGGAGGCCAGGGCAGGCACCCCACTCTCTCAGGGTGGCTGTTCTGCTCTCTGTCCCTGGGACCATTTGGTAAGTGTAGTGGCTTAACTCAGCTCCAGGGTTCAGCTCCATCTTTCATTCCAGATGGTGAAGACATACCCAACAGAAAAGAGTGGCTTCAGGAAAGTTCTCTGCTCAAACTCTTGGTGAGACAGCCTCCTGCTGCCCAGTTCTGTCTCTCTCCTGTTTAATGAGGCACCTGCCAAGTCTCATCCCATGGACAGGCCAGACATCAGTGGCTTGGTCTGCATTCCATATAGGTCTCCCTTCTGTTCCCTGAGCTGTTTTGACTGTTTCCTAACCCTGGTGGGCACTTGGCACAGAGGGAAGGGTGGTATGGGAGCAACTGGGACATCCGGAAGGGGTGAGGAGAGAACAGAGCAGGGATCCATCTCTGTTTATACTCAGATTTTGTCCCAGGTTTTATAAAGACCTTGAGGTCAGCAGCTCTCCCAACCTCTTCCAGTGTGACAGGACCTTCTGGGGGGCATGGAGGTACTGGTTAACTGGATCTAGGATCTCCTGAATGATAGGCAAGTATTCTACAACTAAGGTGCACCCCAGCCAAGAGAAGTTGTTGCTTTTTCTAACATATATATTCTAACTGAACCAGTGAGATGGTTCAGAAGGCTTAAGGTGTTTGACCATCTGCATCCAATCCCTGGATCCTATGTGTTAGGGAGAGAGAACCAACGCCCACATCCATATGTTTTCCTCTGACCTCCACATGAATGCCACAGCATGTGTGCACACACGTACAATTAATAAATAAACAAAACTTTAAAATTAATTATTTGTGTCAGGAGAGGAGCTTGAATATTTCATGTGCATGTAACATTTGTAGAATGATTTTCTCATTCCACTTTTAAGTGGATTCAAGGGATCAAACTCAAGCCATCACCCTAGTATGGCGTGCTCCTTGGTCCACCAAGCAAGCTGTCACACTCTCCCATGAAGTTTTTAAAATGTGTGTGTGTGTGTGTGTGTGTGTGTGTAGGTGAGTGCGCACTTGTGTTCATATATGTTCCTGAATGTGGAAGCCAGGGTACAGCCCTCCATGTCATCCTCAGGAAATTTGTCCACCTCCTCTGACACGGGGGCTTTAAATTGGCCGGAAGCTGACTGTTTAGGCTAAAAGGCCAGGGATCCTCAGGGAGCCACTTTACTGCCTCTCGGCAAATGATATCAGGCCTGACACTTCATATGGGTTCTGGGAATCTAACCCATGACTTGTGCTTAGGAATCAAGCACTTTTCAACTGGATCGAGTCTCCAAGCCCAGAAGCATATTTCAAATAGTGTCACAAACATCTGTACTCAGAAACTTAGGTTTGGCTAAGTGGATCTCATTCAGTCTCCCTGCCACCATCCAGACCCTCAATCCTTGGCTTCTATCTTATAGACAGTGTTGTCCCCCCAGGGTTTAGCACAGCAATCCCCTTTACTCGTGGAACCTGCTCTGTGAGTTAGGCATTGTGCCTAGTTCCTTGTAGCCCTGAGCCCCATTCAACTTTATCCCCATTTTAGCTCAGAGATGTGGGGCAACTTACATTCATCCAGCAAGTATAGGGGCTAAACCCAAGTCGGTTTGGCAGACTCCACACCCCCAACCCTACACCATCATGAGCCCTGGGGTGCAGGGGTATCCCATGCCAGCCACAAAAGGTGGCTTTGGGGAGTGAGTACTCTGAGAGGCCATCACTCACCCAGGCCTGTTCCTGAGATACAAAGACTAGTACCTGGAGCTTGGGTGCCTTCTGTCCCTTAGGAATGCCTTTGTGCCATCCTCCTTCCTGGGCCTTGAGTGTGGCAGCCAGAAGCCAGGGTGAAAATTGACAGTGGGGCTGTTCCTACAGCTTCTACAGCCTTAAGGGGCTCACCCTTAGTATGCTCCTTCCAGAGCTCTAGGGTGACATGGTTCTCAGGTGTGTCTTCAGGCCTGTGCCTTCAGCTAGACTTCTTATTCTATTTACTGGTTTTTCTCACCCATTTACCCCACCACTGGGACAGGGAGAGCATTTGTCAATGAAAGCAGGTGCTATGTCCATAGATGCAGAAAGGTGAGGGATACATTCGGATCCTGCATGGACACAGCTGATCTTGGCAGGGCACAGAATGATAGAGAAGTTCAACAGTGGTTGATATGAGGCAGCCTCAAGGGCTCCCAGGAAGAGGGCTCTGGAGCAGGAGGCCAAGGAGTGAGTGAGGAGTGTGTGTGTGTGGGGGGGGGTGCCACTATAGCATTCTAGGCAGAAATAAATAAGAAGAGCATTTAAGGAAGACACAGCCTATATAACTCATGATTGGGACAATGTGGTCCCATCCAGAGAGTGCTCTGATGGCCTCAAAGCCAAAGTCTGTCAACAGGACACTGTCACGGGGGCCTCAACTTCATGAGGTAGAGTGGATAAGAATTGGAATTAATAAAGCCATTCTGAGGCTGGAGAAATGGCTCAGTGGTTTAAGAGCACTGACTTCTCTTCAAGAGAACCTGGGTTCAAATCCCAGCACACACATGGTATCTCACAACTGTCTGTAACTTCCAGATCTGACACCCTCACACAGACATATATGCAGGCAAAACACTGATGCACATAAAATAATAAAAATAAATAAATCTTTTTTAAAAATGCCATTCTGAATCTCAACAGTGGGGGAAGCTGTGTTGTCATGGTGATGACATGTCCACAGGAAGACCTGGCTTTGAGGCACAGGCCCTGCACAAGATGTGTGTGAGATTTGGGGGCAGTCCAAGTTTCATTGCCTCTGAAATGGGAACAACTGCTCTGCTCTCCTGGGGCTATCTGAAGCACTTATGAGATAATGCAGTGAAATGTGAACACAAGACACAGCTGAGGTCATTTTCTGGGAAGTGACACCCTGGCCTGCTGTGCCCCACACAGGGAGGGCAGCCTTCTGAATCAGTCCTATTCTTATTCAGTGGCCAGTTTTCCCAGAACTCCTGGCTCTTGGGATGGACTCAGGGGAGGGGTTGGACACCATACTGCCAAGCAAAGTGAAGTGGGGGGGTACACTGGAGTTTACAGCAGTAACTCTGACCTAGTCAGGACCATGGGCTTCGTTGAGGCCTAAGAGGACAGACATTCTGAGCACAGAAATGACATATGCAGAGCACATGGAAAAGCATGAAATATTGTACCAGGGGCTCCAAAGGGGACCCTGTAAGAGTAGACACACCCTACCAAACCTTCCCAGCTTACCTGGCACCCAGTGCTGTCCCAGGTCTCCTGGCTTTCATCCCAGAATACACAATGTGACAGGAAGGTAGAAATGCCAACTGTGAGGTTCTGGCCAGAGGTAGACTCCAGGTCATCCTTGGGGACCACCCTCAAATAGTAGATTCCTTCTCCAAAGGGCAGGTCCTCCGGGCCCAGGATCCATGTGGGTAGCTCACCTGTAGGAAACAAGCCTCTGGTCTCATTGAATTTAGAGGATACCAAGGTGACATGCCTGGGACATAGACCTCAAGTTCTCTCCATTATCCCAGGAGTACCCTTGCTCAGTGTGCAGGGGAATGGCAGGACATGAAGGGCTCACAACTGTTTCTTATTGACTGTGTGATATCAAATTTGTTATTGAACGTCTATGTTCTTTTTAAATTTGTTTTGTAGTTTTGAGGCAGGGTATTATGTAGCCCAGGCTGGCCTCAAACTTGCTATGTAGTGAAGACTGGCTCTACTGGCCCTACTGGTCCTCCTGCCTCAGCCTCCCAAGTGCTGGAATTGCTCTGCACCTGGCTTGACCCCCTCTGCTCATATCTGGAATATGGAGATTTCTGCAGCTGGCCACGGAAGGAAGGTTCTTTATGGGGTCATCCACATCTCCATGGCACGTACTAAATGTTTACCCATTGAGGGTAAATAACACCAATTCCATCAGCCCATGAAAGCTGCTGAAGGTAAACAGTTTCTTCTTTGCTTTTTAATTAAATAATTTTGTATGTGTGTGAGTGTGTGTGCATACACATGTGTGCATGTGTGAGACCAGAGGCTGACATTGTGTGCCTTCCTCAATGCTTTTCTACTCTTTTATTTTTTTAACTTTTAAAATTATGTATATGGGGTGGGGTGGGGGACAGGATATGTGAGTGTCTGTGTGGGTGCCCATAGATGTCAGAGGTACGGATTCTCCTGGAGCTGGAGTTACAGGGGGATTGTGAGTCGCCCAGCATGAATGATGGGGACCTCTGCAAGTGCAATGAGTGCTCTTCTCTGCTGAACCATCTCTCCAGCTCCATGGTTTCTGTTGTTGTTGTTTTTGGTTTTTTGTTTTGTTTTGCTTTGTTTTTGAGACAAGGTCTTTCACTAAAACCTGCAGCTTCAGAATCAGTGAAGCTGGCAGCCAATGAACCCCCGGGACCTCCCATCTCTGATCCTCTCCTCTCCTAGGACTGGTATCACAGGCATAGGCTACAACAACAAGATTTTTATGTGGTTTCTCAGGATTGAACTCTGGTCCTTATATTTTAAGGACTGATCCATCTCTCTGGCTTTGTTCAATATACATATATTGACATCTTAGTTTGAAGCTGGCCACACCCAGGAAGCCCCTCAAGAAACAGCATAGGAAGCTGACTACCTGTGGCAGCCACAGGAGGCAGGTGTGTTTGGGCATCATAGCTGGTCTCATTGGGATGGTAGCCATAACCCAGGCTGAGTGTGAGTGCAACTCCAGGTCCCCAGTGCAGCTGTATCCCCAGAGCTGCCTCCCCTGCAGTCACATTCACCCACAGAGCTTCTGGTGTGGCCAGGCTCAGCATCGTTGGCTTGCTGTGTTCTGAAATCCGGGGCAGCAGGATCTGTTTTCAGAAACAAAGAATTACAGCCAGGTAGAGGGGCAGGGCAAGCAGTGCCCATCTAAAGCCCTGTGGCATCCTGGGCCCAATGTGGATAGGAAGATCTCTGCAACAGATTCTGGGGCAGGGGTTGTCTTACCATCCTTCCCAGTTCTGCAGGCTACCTGTGGTCCTAGGTTTCTGGTATGTTCCTCCTATCACCCAAACCAATCTCTGTGTCATGAATAGCAGTCAATACCCCCTTCTACTTCCCTCTTCTGAGGCCCCTTGTTATTCCATTGGACCCCTGAGCAATCCAGGCTCAGATGCCCATCTCTAGGTCCTTAACTGCATCTAATCTGCCAAGTCCCTGGTAGCACATTCACGGGTGCCATGGGCAAGGATGGAGACTTCCCTGCAAACTGTTAGTCAGTCATTGAGAGAAAACAGTAGATGACTAGGGAAATAGTAAGCTCGTTAAGATCCTAAGTGTCCATTGGACCATGGTATGTTAGCATTCTTGCTTAAGTTTAAAGAAAACCTAATGGCATTTTGGAGACTGCATTATGGGCCTTTAAAATGAACATATAGTCTGTGCAATGATTAAAATTCCACCCAACAGATTTAAATTCCCAGGAAAACTTGTCATACACCAAAGATGTATGAATGGTCACATGTGTATGGTTTTAAGTAGGACAAGAGGTACTTTGAGTGATTTCTCTAACGATTGTTTTCACAACTGGTCCATTTGGTCCCAAACAAAGCTGAAGAGAAGGCCAAGTGCCACCTGACTTCTGGGTACACTCCAGTGCCTACCTCGATGTTCTGTGACAGGTTCTTCACTGGGATGGGATGACCACTGGAGCTGGTCAGACGGAGTCCACCCACAGTTCCACTGACTTCGAACCGGCTTCGGGAAAGGAAGGGATTCTGTGAGAAACTCATCATCTGAAAGCCAAGAGCAAGAAGCACTGATGAGGGATGGGAGATGAATAGGCCCTCGTGTGCACAATGAATCCTGAGACTGGATGAGCAGCCCTTGCTCTATGGGGTGGATGCAGAAGCCTGCCTGTAACTGATGGTGCTTTCTGAAGATGTGGTCTCAGAGTGCTGGCCTGGGTGGGAACCAGCAAGTCTCCCCCGCCCCCAGAGTCCATATAGCCAGATCTCCACTTCTTTAGTTTTGTATCTGTGGACTCAACTAAATGTGGACTGAAAATATTAGGAAAAAATTACATCTGCATGGGTATTGATTTTTCTTGTTGTTCTCCAAATTAACACATTTTTGTTAACTATTTGGGTAGCGTTTACATTGTATCAGCTGTTACCAGCAACCTTGACTTTGTTTAAAGTATATGCAGAAGTGTAGGCCAGCTTGGTCTACACAATTCCAGGTCAGTCAAGACTACATAGTGAGCCTTTCACTTCCTCCCTCCCTCCTTCCTTCCTTCCCTGATTCTTTCTCTCTTAATTCACACACACACACACACACACACACACACACACACACGTATGTATATATATATATATATATATATATATATATATATATCAG